ATAGGAATAGATAATGGAAGAGACAACCAATCTAGTAAAGACAGGCATCAGATGGAAATTCACCAGTCAACTAGAAGACCTCGACTACGCGGATGATATCGCTCTGATCTCAACCAATCACGGACAGATGCAAAAGAAGACAGATAAGCTAACAAAGACAGCTCAGACAGTGGGACTCAACATTAGCAAATCGAAAACTCGCATACTGAATCTTATCTTATCTTGGAGCATGTGTAAGTGCGGATGGGGGAGCAGGTAAGGACATAGAAAGCAGACTTTGCAAGGCCAAGACACCATTCAGGAAGTTGAGAAAAGTGTGGAGCTCCAAGTAATATAGTAAGAAGACCAAGATTAAGCTATTCAACACCCCCGTGAAGCCGGTCCATTTGTATGGAAGTGAAACATGGAAGACAAATGCTAAAGATTACGAGAAACTTGATTCCTTTCAGTACCAGTGCCTGAAGAGAATTCAAGGTATATTTTGGCCGTACATCATTTCAAAGGAGGAATTACAAAAAGAAACCGGATCCGCGCCGATGAGCATAGAAGTCAGGAGAAGGAGGCGGAAGTTTCTTGGACATGTCTTGAGGATGCCGCAAAACCACCACTGCGTAATAGCAGTCGTCACATGGTCACCAGACGGTAAGAGAAAGGTGGGCAGGCCCAAAACAACTTAGAGGCGATCGATTAAAAAGGAAAGAAGTGAGGCAGATTGGAAGTCGTGGGAAGAAGCGAGGACTATTGCAAGAGACCAGAACCGATGGAAGAGAAGTATCAAGGCCTTATGCGTAACAGGGCACGAAAAAGACTGATGATGATGATGATGATGCATAATGGGAATATAGCTCTGACAATTGCGTGACACATAAGTCACGCAGTGACAACAATGACTACTTATTTCTACAAAACGAATGCTTTCGGAGAAAACAAAAACATCTTCTACCGTATTGCAAGTACTTTGAAGACGTCATTCATAGTATTCAAGCATTTATTATTACCACTGAAGCTCTCAAGCTGGAAATGATAAACAAAGTAGGTCTTTTCTTTTATGTCGCCGACCTCGCCGAAGAGCCAAATTTCTATGAATTTAAAGCCCTCGTGTGCATAGCAGCACAAAAACCCCAGAGAAACAACTCTACAAAAGGTACGTTTATCATTTCTACTTCTCATATTTCAAATATCAAACGTTTATTTTACTTAGCACATATAAAAGTAATTTTTTGAAGCTACCCTACTTTTCACACGGCACATAACATCAGATAGAAAAATCCATATTTTATTTCAAATTTAAATAATGATTCTAATTTTTGCGAAAACATAGGGTAAATATCTTCCTCAAATTCTGTCGAATGAGTAAGTTTTTCACTGCTTTTACAGGCACAACCGAGGTCTCCAAAATTGGGCTAAATTCGACCTTCGAATGACTCTAAATATGCGTACACTGAAGTTTACCAATTTTCTCGGAAATAAAACAATTTTTCAACAAACTACATATGTCTTGGTTGATTTTACCCATAGGCCTACCTAATAATAGAATATGAGCCAATTCGATTTTTTGACTGTTGCCGGTGATTTGTGAATTTGTCTGATTTTTAGTGGCATCTACTCTTACAGCTTTTGAACTTGACATTTCTGCAATGGCATCCGTAGAGAGCGACGTTTTAGTAGTTTCGCCGCATTCCCTTAGGTGATGTGTCGCCCGACAGATCATCATGTTACCGACAGGTTACCAACAGGCTACCGCCAGCTAACCGAAAGGCTACTGCGTCTGAAAACACGTAGTAAACATGACCCAGAAACGATAATAGTCCCGATAAACACGAGTTAAGCTTAGCCTACTCATTGATCGATGGTCGGCCGTTTGTCTCTTCTTCACAATTACCACCTCAGCCATGCTAAGCGGGAGTACCTGATTAAATTATATGCCACCCTTTCACACGTCTGATGGCCCTATCTACGTGGATTCTTACATTTGCTATTCTCATTGTTTCAAAACATTCTTCTTTAGAAAACAGATTGGCAGTTGACTGCCGTTTGGGTGGTATAAACAACTTAGCTTTTTTTGTTGCCTTCAAGTCTTTTATTTCAAATCCACGGTCAGCCATAGTAAGATCACCCTTTTCCAGCAAGTCAACAAAATGACTTTTTTCCACGATTTTTCTTCCTGAAATGCTGCCCCCATAAAGGCTACTAACAAATGTAACTCAAACATTAGGTGAAATTCCAATTAGTCCTTTTAATGTGCTATGTGATTTGTACTCTGAATAAAATTCACTCCGCTTTTGGAGATCTCCCAGTTTCTCGCACTTGATCTCAGTGCAGTCAATGATACAGCGAACATTTTCAAATCTTCCTTGAAAGGCTGTAAGAGGATGTTGCTTTATGACATCTTTAGGCGCCCACACTAAAAGGTTTCCCAGCATTACAAACAGATAATTACTATTAATAGTCATGATGTCAGAAACTGTGGATATAGATATGCCTCAAGAGTTAAGAACAGCCACAATTCATCTATAGGCTGAAGACTTCACTGTGCAGCTACATTCCTGCCAGGGAATTTTTTTCCAGGGGTACTTAAGAATGGAAAAACATCATCGCTGATCACTTAAGTGGCATCTCTGACACTGCTGTAATACGCTAGAAGGGATGCGCTTGGTTCTCTACAATTCCAAAATGCTTTAAGTGTTCCACAATCTGGAAACCCAGCATAGAAGTGGATGTAAGCTGAGTTTTTTGAGAAGCTTTTAAGACCAAAGGTGAAAACATACTCTTTCTCTTTTGCTTTAGAAAGTTCTTTTCAAGGATTTCTACTTCTAAACGTTTCGCTTCAAGAAACTGTTCTATCACTGGAGGACCTATAAAATTAACAGAATCTCGCAGTTCATCGCTCAATGACGATTCCGCTGACCTTTTCATTTCCTTATGCGATGTTTTCGCTGTCCGTAACCTTAGCCGTTCTTCTTTAACATGTGATTTGTCTGAAAACCAAGGAAAAAAAGAGGGGATGGCTCCTCTTTTTAAATCCTTTTTATGTCCGGTGAGACCTATTCTGTAATCGCTAGGTAAGAAATGTTCGGAACAATACTTGTTCTCAATGTTTTTAAACTTCTGATCTCCTCTTCGCATGAGAATTTCCCACTTCTACTTGTTTCAGGATCTGATGCAAACTTATGGTAGGTCAGATCCGTCCGATTTTCACTGCGGTTGTTGCACATGGCTGCAGCACATGTCTTATGACTATTTTTCGTTTTATTTTGCTTGCAAATTGCATTATTTGATTATGAGATTGAATGAGAGCCCCAAAACTTTCGAGAATGCACTTGTTTTCACCGCAAAAAGCCTTTAAGAGCCCTTAGGCCTCGCTTCCATGCAACTTCCAGATTTTTTTCCTGAATCGGCGTAATCCCCAACCCCGATAACTCGAATCCCCACTAATAACTCCCACCATTTTTCGTTTCTCTAGGGAGTTTGAGTTTGCAAGGTTCTTCCCTGTTGTCCTCTCAAACACCACATCTCAAGGTAAAAGACTTTAAATTTCCACGGACGTCCTGACTCGGATTTGGGTTTCACTTAAAAAAAAATTAGAACTTGCGCTTTTCCACCGGAAGCTCAAGTAATAAGTCTTTTCAATCTGGAGGCGCCAATTTTAATGGCGGGCTAAGAAATAAAATAGGAGGAGACTAACTACAAGGATAACGCTTTGAGATGATATACAATCTGATTTGTAACTGTTAAGAATAAAAAAATTGTAATTATTTAGCCATTTAATGATTATCTCGTTGCCCCGGTGATTTTGACGAATTTACCGCTTTGTTGTTTCGCGGGCGCACTTTTGACACGTAGGAGACGAAGGAAGAAAAAGATTGTATGAGACTCCGTAGTTCATTCCAACGTGAAATTAAAAGGTAAAATCAATTGCTCTGTGCGACGACTCCTTTGGATTGATCGTTCTACCGATTGGGAACAGTAACCATATTTGCTGGGCATTTTAGTTCAACAATGAGATGAAATTACACAATTTTACGCGAAGGCACGTTGGCCTCATAGTTGGTGCACTCGACTCCGGATCGAGTGGTCCGGGTTCGAGCCCCGGCCGAGACATTGCGTTGTGTTCTTAGGCAAGACACTTTACTCTCACAGTGCCTCTCTCCACCAAGGTGTATTAAATGGGTACCGGCGAATTCAATGCTGGGGGTAACCCTGCGATGGATTAGCATCCCATCATGCTGCGGAAACCGGAGTTAAGCGCCGGCCCGATGATCCACATGGCTCCTGAGTAGGCTTTACCCTTACTTTTTTACACTAGTTCACCACGTTACTATAACGTGGCTTAAACGTAATAACGTGACAACATTTGGGAGTGAGAATGTATTGCGATATCGCGTACGAAGTTTCCAACGCTGCAGAATGTTTGCAATGTTTTCCTGAATGGGAGAGGAAGGGGGGGAAGGGGTGCCAACGGCCGTTCAGATATTTCAAGTCCCTATTCACCCTAAGAGATTTATATATATTTCGATTCTTTGCGTTATCAGGATTAATCTACAAAAAAAATTTTGCGATTGATTAAATATTTCCCGAGGTATGCCGCCTCAAAGTTACTCTTTTGACCACACCTCTTTGACTTGGTCGGAAGAGAATTACTGGGCCGAGTGAGGTCACAGAAACAACTAATGTTAACTTCTTGTATAAGAACATGTGTCTATATTCGTCTAAAGGCATATTCAAGTGAATGTGGCACATCGATCGAGAGATGCTCTTGCTGTGATGTCATGAGGGACTTTTAGTTACCAGTGCAGTAAATGGTTTGAACCCGGGGGTAACATGTGAAGGTGTAGTCTGATCGTCCGGGTGAGTGTAGTCCTGAGAAGGACTGTCAGAAGGACAGAGAAGGACTGAGAAGGACTGAGACATTAGTTACCAGTGTTAACTTAGCCCGGCCAAATCAGAAGGCCGTTGCCAAAGGACGAACCTTGAGGCGGCATATCTCGGGAAATATTTAATCAATCAAAAAAAATTTTTTTAGAGATTAATCCTGATAACGCAAAGAATCGAAATACATATAACTCTCTGAGGGTGAATAGAGAGTTTAAAGAACTTTTAGATTTTTCTGAGGAAGAAACGCGCGATCATAAGTGCCCTTCAGGAATGAATAAAGGAATTATAAAATTGTGCAACTGTATTCACGGTCAGATGATGTTAAGGCTGCAGATGAGGAACTTGGGGCTGAAAGATAAAATTGGAAAATTCTTAAAGTCTTTTAAATAACATGAACACAAGGACAAATAGTTCAGCTGTATTAAATTCTGATATAGCGCTCTTTTGAGGACAGGACACTTGGCCCGCAAGCTTTTAAGAGAATATAGACCTTAAGCTCTCGGTCTTACTCTGATTTATTGGAAAATCTCATAGTCGCATATATCGTATGCATCATGTAGGACTGTGAAACGTTCTCTTTTCCGTTTTCACTCATACACTGTAAAGTACTTTTCAAACTTTGATTAACCAGGGACTTAATAATTAACAATTACTCACCGAAAAGGAGGTGAATAGTGGTGGATATTTACCGAGCCGCGCGAAGTATATACCACACAGATACCAAACATAAATTTATTTTTTTCCACAGACCGAAAAATGGTCGGAAATTGAACTCTTGACACGCGATTTTCCCCTTTAAGCTACTTGGAGGTAAATAGTCCTTGCTATTCACTACGGAATCAACTGGTGTGGTATATACTAATGAACACAGCGGTCAAACACTGCGCATACACGAGAAGTTAAGAACGTGTCCACTAGAGCACCAGGCAGTTGTGCTACATGCCATCTCCCCAATTACCATGAAACTTTTCCAGTTTAAAGGGTCTACCCAAAACTTAAACAGACAAACGAGCTTCTCTTTTGGTTATTTCCGGGGGGAGATACACCATCTCCTGGTTTTTCTAGGTTTTCAGCAAGAAAATCGCTTCAAAATAAGTGAAATGTATGAAGCTCTCACTGTAGTAGTATTCCACCGATTACTCTGAGGGTTTGCGTACATATTGATACGTCCTTGGTAAATGCACGACACAAGTATCAAATGTCAGATTTTTCCCTTAAAAGAGAATAGAAAGTCGACTGAGATCAGAATACCTGCATTAAAGTGAGGCCAATCTTTGAACACCTCTGTATCACCCAATAAGTTGGCCACAAGAGATGCTGCCATCACACAGGCAAATTCTTCCCACTGCTTATTGGAAGATCTATCATTTACAAAGTCTTTAATACCTTTCACTATCAGCCATTCGGTCTTTAAATTATAGGCTGCAGCGAAAACATCTGGAAAGAGAGAAATATTTCTTTAAATTTACTTTCTATTATAAAAATCTCTTTTTTTAACTTAAGTTTACTAAAATTAGCATCCCAAACATTTGTAAACATGAACACCAGAGGAAGTTAGTAATACCAATGTAGTCAGATAGAAAAGCTTGTCAGGAGACTGTAAAACTACATTTTTCAGTAGACAAACTTTTGACTTTTGACTTAGACTTATCAGGAACTGTGATTCTTGTTTTCAAGCTTCAACGTATTTAGAAAAATACTTTAGACATCTTTCAAATGACAAGTTTTTGACAATTCACAGCTATCTGATCGAGCATACCAAATTCCTATTAATAGGTTCGAAATGCTGAGGACATAAAGATTTTCATGTTGTTTTTGTTTTCGTTCTGCCACTTGGACACAACATAGGCATGCCACGCATACAAGAGTAATTTTTGATGGATGGGTTGGTTGAGCTTGGACGCTTATTGTGGTCTCCTTCTCAGCCGTTGTTTCGCCGGCCTCGTCACACAACGCCCTTCCTCTCCTCCGTTGGAGAGAAAGCCTGTTGCGTGACTAGACCAAACATCGGTTACGAAGGAGACCTTGCCTATCAAAGAGAAAATCGAAATTCTTCGTTTACACTTAGTTGCCTAAAAAAATTTCAACCCACGCAATTTTACTACAAAAGGAAACGGAAACTCTATTGTAAGTCCAATAGGTCTTAAAGTTCACCTAAACCCAAAAATTTTTTTCGCTTAACGAAATAAGCGTATTTTTTTTTGGAGTATTTTTTTGCAAAAACTTTTTGATTAGCTCATATCTTCGATTTTCTGTGCCCAGTCAAAATGAGGAAAATCAGCCGCCATCTTGGCTCACTACCGAGTTTAAAGAGAAATGGTTCTAGCGGGTAATGTGACGTCAAATCGAGAACACGAAAGTTTACATTTCGCACATTTTCACTTGTTTGGGAAAGTTGCAGTTGATATTGTCCGAAAATATGCCGACTAAGTGTGTTGTAGGAGGATGTAGCAACGTGCGAAATTTGCAAGAGGATATCGCGCTTCATACATTCCTTATACAACACACCTAGTTCGACATATTTCGGACAATATCAACGACAACCTTCCCAAACAAGTGAAAATGTGTGAGATGCAGACTTTCGTGTTCTCGATTTGACGTCACGTTACCCGCTAGAACCATTCCTCTTTAAACTCGGTCGTGAGCCAAGATGGCGGCCGATTTTCCGTATTTTGACTGGGCACAGAAAATTGAAGATTTGAGCAAATAAAAAAATTTTTGCACAGAAATACTCCAAAAATACGCTTACTTCGTTAAGCGAAAAACAATTTTTGGCTTTTGGTGCACTTTAACCAAAGACAGCTGTTAATCGAATAAAAATCCACTGAATAAAGAGAAAAGGATCATATTTCAAAGGGGGCTTCTTGATTGGTTGCTGCCGATCAGGACTTTGACCCATGTGTGCAAAATACGTGATAAAATGCAGGATGTTCAAATACAAGGAATTAACCCGCGATGGAGTTGAGTCCAAGGTAGCAAAAAGCGAGAAGCATACCCTAATGCCGCGATCTGATTAGTGCGAGCAACATACCACTTTGTACGCTAAGTTATTTTCTTTGGTACAAAAAAATCTCAAAACTGGTAAAATTATGTCTGAGAGACATTTCAGTCACTCTAAATGGCAAAAAGGTCCCGCAGTCTGACCCAAAATAAATTATGTTAGACATAATATAATTCCTGAAAATTCACCATTGTATGTCATTCCTTGGACCAACAAAAACAATTCCAGAACGGTCTTTTAAATCAATTCCTACCGACTACATGTCCAGAAAGGAGGTGGAATTTGAAACACTGCTGAAAAGTTCCTGACTCATCAATTATAATTATTATGATTCTCACCTGCGCCTTCCATTTCGACTGCAATTGCTTCTTGATCATGGCCAATTATGTCCTTATTTTCCTCCGAGAAACTCAGAAGTGCTCCACAGTGTACCTTGGGACTATCTACATCCGCATTTTGCAAAGGCGCTTTCCATCCATGAGCTATATGTCCGATAATGTTGCTCATATCTCTGCTGAGTGGAGTTTTGAATGCACCTCTTATCAGCTTTGATGAGACAACTATATCTCCCTGCTTGACCTTTCCTCTCTCTTTCTTGCTTCTTAAACCACTGCATGCACCCACAGAAAATATGGCCTTGGGACTCAAAAGCGAGATGGCTTTTTGTGAAGTAGACAAAGAACCCCCAGGATAAACAGAACCTTTGGAGCATTTCTTTAACGCAATTCGAATTCTGTGTCCCGGTTTATTAGCCAGGCAGCCAATGTATACGTGGCCAATGGTGATGTGGTAATACCTAGTGGGTTCTTTCAGGAAGGCAAGGCAAGAAACCAACTCACAGTCTTGCACGGTGAATAACAGGAAATCAACTGGGAGTTCAACATTTTTCCAAGGAAGAGAGGTTTCAGGAAGCTCACTAATTTTTGGAATTTTAATCCCTTTAACCTTTGGTGGGTTGACTTTGGCATTCCCTGCTGATTCATCTTCTACAAAATAAAGTACTACAAACTGACCACATGTGTACCTATAACTAAACATTGTTTATGAATAATTTTTCATTAGTACAGTATGAACTGTTTTCACCAACGTCACTAGTCTGACTAATAACTTAATTGTGACTTCTTACGAAAAAATTGAGAAAGGTCCTTTACTTCTAAATCAACAATGAAATGTGTTTCAGGAACCATATGATTTTAACCTCTCGTTAGTAAAATGATGTCAAATTTACCACTAACAATTGTTTCAGATTCCAAAGAGTCACAAAACCATTCAAATGTGCCGAAAACTTTGACTGTAGAGTTCACTGACTAACCCTCACAAAAATATAATTTTAGCTCCTAATTGTTAAGGAAGATTGACATAAAAACACAGAGAAACAAGGAGCAATACTTTGCTACAACTCAGGTAGGCAGCCATGTTAAGAAGCAAATGGTGGCATCCCCAATTGCAAGTTTTAGCACATTTTAAGCGCCACTAAACCCAAAAATCTTCTTTGAATAAAATAAATTTCCTTGTTTTTCTGATAATCACAGTGAGCGAATTATCGCAATTGGGAAAGTACCACACCATTCTACAAGCAGTCAAAGCTCAATCATCTTAGGACTTGTTCGGGGAAGGTTGTTATATCATTCCACGAGCCACGCTACAAGTGCTACTTTAAGAAGCGGTGGCATGACATGCTTCTGGGAATTTCCCTTTCTTAAACATCAAGGACCTATCATAAAGTTCCTAAATAAAGATCTTCCATCCAGAGACTCAAACTCATACAGTGACTATATGACTCTCAAACATTCAAAGTTTCTAATCGATAGGAATATGATGCGGAGATGGTGGAAATAAATTATGCGCCGAAAGCTGGCGAGACCTCGATGAAATGGAGTCAAGAAACGCCTGACAATACTGAGAAAGAACTCTATCGGACTCTACAAGCTCATCTCGAGAAGGGCACATGACCAAAAAGCCTAAAATAAAACGAGCTAATTTTCAAAATACGCGTGAAGAGAGGATACCCAGATGAAATTCTGGACAAATATAACTCTGAACTTAATTCTACTGGAAGAGAAAGATGACTTGAAAACGAGGAAAATAGCACAGAAAAAAATTGCCTTTTGTAACACAATGTCG